TATATATATATATATATGTATTAAATGTTATATTGTTATATTATATTATATTATTTATATTACGCCCCCGTGGCTTTGATCCTTTCATGCTTTATTATTTATTTAAGATTTATTTTTGTTGCACAAGTAAGACGCCAAACCTGACAGGGGGACAGGAAAAGAGAGAGAAAAAAAGTTAAAAAAAAGGAAGAAAGCTAATTAAATAAAAAAAAATTAAAGAATAAAATACAATTTAAAAAAGGAAGAGAGAATAGAGAAAAGGTAACAATAACCCGTCCCGAAAAGAGGAGAGATTCTTAAAACCGGAAGAGATAATAAAAAAAAAAGACAACAAAACCTCACATTCTGCTGCTAGTAAAGACACACATTTGACCGAGTTCTGGGTGGAGTTTCCCCTCATCCCTGCTCTTCTCCTCCAGGAAACACCGGAGTACCTGCACCAGGCCGCCAACGTGAACCTGCTGCACCACCTGAAGAAGCTGGAGAAGGAAGGCCAGATCAGCTCCGGTGGGTCCCAGAGGAACCTTTAAAAGCTGTAAAACATGAAAAATACAAAGGATGGGTACAAAAGAAGAGCCTCGAAATGAATTACAACATTTCCAAGCACATTTTCTTCAGGGTTCCCGTTATTGGAGGTCTCTGGAAACAATTATCTAGATTTTTTGTACTTTGTTTAAAGTTTTTCTTCCGTTCATATTCAGTATGGTCCTTTTTTAATTTATTATTATTTATTTATTTTTAAACTATGACAGTCAGAAGGTTCAGGAGAAGAAAGCAGGCAAACCAAATATTGGCTTTTTTTTTCCTTTTCTTTTTTTTTCTTTGTAGAACCAACTCCGTTTTTGCCATTTTTATGGTAATGTGTGAAATTATGAAATTGGATTTTTGCTCCAAAGTCAGAAATACATGTAAATAAGACCTCCACTTTAAGAAATCTAACATACACACAGAGTTTAATTCATGCATAAGAGCTGGGCCCTGTGTAATACTGTGAACCACCTCATATATCCTGGTTAGAAGTGTCATAACTGAGGATTTTGGACGATTGGGCTTAGTTTTCTTCTTTTATTTAAACATCAAAACACAGAGAATTGGCTTTACAATCACAAAACACTTGCAGAAACTGTCTCTAAGTTAGTTTTGTCTTCGCTCTCTATGTCCATTTAGCCCCCAAAAGACTGGTGGGCTTTTAGGCTGAGTTTTCCTTTTCCACCTTGTTGTTTCTGGATGCTAACATGCTAGCTGTTCTGTACTCAGTTTAAAGTTTTCCTGCGCTATCCGTGCTGTTTTCCACAGTGACCGAGGCCTCCGACGGCTTCAAGTGGAGGAGCAACCTGTGACCTTTGACCTCTCCGTCCGCCCGGCGGCCATTTTCCCAAAACCCGGACTACCAGCTCCCGGCGTCCCATTCGGGATGAAACGCTCTATTTCTGATTTCCAGATGTGTTTTTGGAACAGATCCTGCTGCTTTTACACGCTTTCTGGCATCAGGAGTCTGTAATCTGAGTCGGTTTTTGGAGTTTCCCCGAACGCTTAACCCCCAAAGGGCGTCCGGTCCCAAAAAGCCCGTCGGTTAGCTGCTGTTTGCCCTGCGTGTTTGCTTGTTAAAAGTCTGCTTCTACCTGCCGAACAGGGAACTAGCGGCTCAACTGGTTGGGCTCCACACCGGAGGGCTCCTCTGGCTCCTCCAGGACTCTAATTTTTTCTTTTTTTTTCTTCCTGACTTTCATACGGGGCTGAAATGTGAACTTCTGAACAGAAACGTGGCGCTAATAGCTGGAGGCCGTCACTAGGTGGCAGCATGGGCTAATCTGAACCGGCTAAAATGAACAAAAGTGTGGCAAAAATGTTTAAATGCTCTATTTTCTTTGAAAATTCTTATTAAAAAAGTTTCACAAATGCATTGCGAGTGATGTTTGATCTGAAAAATCCCCATTTTAACTGATAAAATAGGACTATAGAGCACAGCTGTTATGCTGGTTACAACCATTAATGTGTCATAATGAAGCAATATTCTATTAGTAATAATGGGATGTGTTATTTGACCTTTTAAACTTTGGCTACACACACACACACACAAACACACACACACACACACACAGTGAACCTCACTAGTTCTTAGGTTGACTCATGAGTGATGCAAACTCACTGGAAGGGACTTTCTTTAGAGTTTTGGTTGCTGTTTCTTTAATGCTCAGCCAGTTGTTGTGTGTGAGAGACTTAAAATGATCAAAACACGCTGAGAAAAATAAGTTTTCCAACTCGTACTCGACACCACAGCCCAAAATGGAGGTGTGTCACCGGCTTATAATGATATGTCCTATAATAAATTAATTTAAATAATAACCGTCCACTATTCTGAACATAAAGGGAGGAAGCGTGTGAGTCAGTATTGCTCTGAAAGCCTCTGAGAGCTGAAAAAAACACACAATTAAGTTTATATTGACAACAAAGTAGCCCCAGAAGGCGCGCGGCCATATGCTCTCTTATTAAGGTTATTTAGTCTTATTATTGGGAGTTTTGTTGGGTTTTCTGTGTGCGTGAGGTGGAGACGAGTGAGTGGCAGAGCTAATGAGATGAGAGGAGGTGGAGGGTGAAGAACAGTTTCTTCCCCCTGGCCATCAGACTGCATGTCCATGTCCACCCCCCATGGACATGGACAATACAAATAGAAAAAAAAAAGAAATAAATATATATATATATATAAATAAATATTAAATAAATATATAAAATATCTTTAAATATAAATATATATTGAAATAAAATAAATATATATTTAATGTATATTAAATTATGTAAATATACATTTAAATAAAATAAATATAAATATGAATATAAATTTAAATATATTTAAATAAATAAATAAAATAAATACAAAAATAAATAAAACATTTATTTTTGCAATAACTAAGTGTAATATACTGTATATGTATATATGTATATACTTATTTACCGTGCATATAGCTAGCTCTTAGCTAAATTAGTTATGGAAAACATATTTATTGTGTAGAAATAAGATCTTACCTCTGTTACACTGGTTGTCAAGATTCACCTTGTGTTTTTTGTGCTATGATAATAAAGGAAGTCTAAGTCTAAGTGTAGAGGG